CAGGAGAAACACAATCACTGGTTTGTGACGTTTTTAAATCTTTCGCGACATTGCGTTTAACTCTGTTAAAACCATAAAATTCAGGATTGAATGATTTTTCAGCATTTAGTCATCTGTTTAACAGTATTACTCATTTACATAAATTATAAAGAAGTTTTATATTACTCACAAAAAATATGTAATACAAATCAATATAAAATAATAATTTATAGTTTACTCTGTGTTAATCAAAACAAATATTAGCGTCCATGACATAAAGAAGTCAGGTTCTATATTCGGTTTATAAGATGCAGGCGCACTATCTCAACCTCTAGCAGCCTAGAGAATGGAAGCCGTTTAAACAGGGCACGATAGATGCAAAACCGCATCACCAGAAGCAAGGGCTGAACGCCTATGAAGTGTAAAATTAGAAGCGACAGGAGTATGTTATTCTAAACAGCGGTATTAAACACTAGCAGGATTGCTAATAAACCCATAATACCTGGATTATTTTTATGTACATAGATACGTAACATAAAATATTACTATATCAAACCAGGGCTTAACTAGACAGGAATAAGTTATAAAAACTGGAGTATCAGAGGCAGACAAATATTTTACCCGACGACATGATGAAGTCGATGAACTGAGGCTTTAAGAGGTACAGAACTACGGCTATCTGAGACAGCTCCACGGATAACTTTCCAAAGGAGAACCGACTTTGCGAAATTAACAGAAGAGTAAAAATTACACGAAATACTTTGGAAGATTGAAAATATTCCTATCCAGAAAGCGGCGCTTATGCCTGAAACGGAATGTTTTCGATCAGCAAATGTTCCAAGTGCTAACCTATGAATGGAATCAAAACGTGGATCATATGCCCAAAAGCACTGTAGAAAGAGGAGACTACGCAATGCAGCATGGAAAGGAGTACGGCTGGAATGGGAACAATTGAGAAAGAGTCCAAACAGGATTCTATGATGTCACTACATGAGCAAAGAATCTGAAATGACGAGCGAGACAGGTTACATAAAAAATTAATCATCATCGGGCGAGAGGTACAAAACACAGCACATGGCTAAATGGAAGACCTCAAAATTGATGGCAGAATGATCTGAAGAAATATCAGAGAAGCATGCATAAAAAGTGAAGGAGACATAACGCTTGATGAAATTTTGGAGGCCTTCATCCTGCAATGGATTGATAAAAGCTTATGATGAAATGTCTAAACATTTATTTGTATTTAGCTGCATCCAGATACTAAAGGATATTGAAAGCAGAACCTTGTTACAAAATCTGGTCTCCTCTGAACAACGTAGGTACATATGGCTACTGAATTCATTTTCCTGACGGCGTTCTATTTTCCAGATATCCATAAGTAGCAATACTGAGAAGGAGAGTCAAGACAGGACGTTGAAATGGATTAATCCTTTGTAAGTAATTATTGGATATCCATTAAAAACCTATAAAAAAATCCAACCAGTCGTAGTGGATGCAGAAGAGGGAAGGTGTTAATGATCTGTACATAACTCGGAAAATTTTCTGAATAATTGTTTATATCGGAATGAAGGAAAGCTGTCGCTGTGGCAATGAAATGCACGTTTGAGAAGAGTTGTGTTGGTTGCTGGAAATGGAATGCCGGTCTTTCATCACTTTCTTCATTGGGCCATTTTTAAGCACTTCTATTAATGAAGCTTATGGTGCGGTGCCGATCTGTTTCTATGACATAAGCCAGAAGTGCCTTATTTTATCGCAAAGTCTGCAGCAATGTGGCAAGTTTAGCCCGTAGTCTTGTGTTTCTTCCCCACAGAGTGGCACTCATAACAGACTGATAACAATCTTGGAGGGAGGAAAGGCAAGTGACCCTGATCGGAGTTTGAACTGAGACCTATCCGTTTGGAGTTCGATACCTTACTGACTGAGCAACCGTGATCTGAATCAATTTCCGGAACATTCGTGAATAAGAAAATGACTGCCCTCGATCGGAATCAAAACCTTGTCTCCAGTGTTCGAAGCAGACTTTCTGACAACTGCGCCAACAAACCACTTGAGGTGCGTTGCGGAATGTGCAATAGCCAAAAAATATTACAACATGTAACATGTCATATTACAACTCATATGACCCCTACGAATCAGCAAAGCAGATGTAGACAACGGTCCAGTCAGTCGACAAGCGATCAAAATGTCACTCGCGGAGGTTCCAGGAGAAATTTTAGGTAATTGACCAGATATCAATTCTGAAGTTAAGCA